AAGCCGTTTTAATGTTGTTAGAACAACGGGTAAAAGTTGTAGATAGTTAAAACGGCTTATCGACTTCTTGAGAAGAATTCTAAGAAGAAAGTAAATCTACAGACATCAGTCTTGTTTAACAAAATCTGCCTACAAGAAAATCTGTCACCAAAGTACACCAACGTATGGATTAATAAATAACAAAAATTAACTTCCTTAACGTTTCATCAAAGAATGTTAGAAGAAGGAAATGTAAAAATTAGTAAATATCATCCAAAGATTTATTATTAAAGTTAAAACATAAGATTTAGAAATCATTAAATGAAGGTGTTGTATTTTGTCAAGTGTAATTGAAGTACAACAAAGTATTTTAGTTTCTTGTGTATTTAACATATATGATCCACATATGTTTGTAATTAATTTGTTAGATCTGTTCCTAGCCTAAATTGTTGTGAACAATAGCTTATAATGTGATATGATATTTTTTTGTTGTTGCTGTTGTTTTTGTCAAGAAATCTATTTGAAATTACACAATAACTATTAATTCCTAGGTATTTTCATACTTCATTGGTGGGTTTCCTTATAAAAAGCCTACAGCTATTTTAATATAATATTTTACTGCTAACTGTGGTACGTGTCTTTTAAAGGACATTCTGATGACAAAGACTGTGGAATGTGCCACAGAAGAGGATGTTGCCAAAGTAACAGAAGAGTCCAGAAGAATGGTTGAACTTTTAGAAAAGAAAAAAAGGAAAATGGTAAGTTTGTCTTTTAGCAGTTCAAGTTATGACAGTTTAAGGAAGTTGTATAGTTTTGTTATTTACACCTGAAAAATAAACTTCTGGACAATCAGACTTTTTTGGAATTTTGAATTGGTGAAATATGACTTTATTTATGTTTTGTTCTTGTTGGAAGATGACCCATCAACTCTACTGGAAATGTGTAAGCATTGTCTAAGTCAACAGGAAGGAATTCTGGCTCCTCTCAACATCTTGCATGTAAAGATTTTAGATAAAGCTTTTGATGCATGTATCTCTCTGGGAAAGTGGGAGGAAGCTATAGAATTCTCACTGCCAACTCTCGAACCATACAGGTAGGTTTGAAAAGATACAGTCTAACCCGAGTAAAAAATACTTTAGTTAAAAAAACAATCAACAAGAGTTTAATGTAGCTTTACAACTAGATGTTTTATATTTTAAAAAATCATAGTTAAGAATACAACGGACAAAGTGTAGAGGTTCCAGAGGGCAAGTAAATTGCAAGGCATTGATAGTGTTACGTCTCCGTTTGTT